CGGTGCGTCAATTAGTTTTATAGAGAAATTCCAAACAAAGGTGACCGCAGATGCTTTGATCATAATTTTGATAACAGTCATTATTGTATACGATAGCAGCATCTAAATATTTAACGAGTTCACGTGGAGGTTTAAGATTACCAAAACTATCAAAATACTCAGCTACATTACCATTTTTTCTGCATGCTACCCAATGCGTTCCTTTGTTCTTTTGTTCATCTAAATTGATTGTACCACATTCGTTTGTTCTAGCACCACCTTTAGGTATAGCATCTCGCATAAATACACCGCAAAAATGTGCTATTTTAAGCTTCTTGACAAATTTCCGTAAGTCCACATTGTATAGAGCTCTATCGGGTAGCTTTATTGGTAGTTTTTTGGGTGTTGTTGCTTTTTTAAAATAAACCGAGACCGCCTCGAGCATTTTTGCGTAAGAGCAGACCGGATCCTTGTTTTCCAATTTCTTCCATTGCTTTGTTATGTCGCTGATCTTCCTCAAGCTTTCGTTTAGCATTTCTAGAGTCGATTACCGTTTTGGTGACTGCACTAGCACCCCCCGCAATACTCCCCAAGGCGCTGAATCCTGCAAACAACGGCAACAGCGGCAAAAAACCTACACTTTTTGCTTCAAACGGTATCACTCGCGGAACTCGAATATTTTTCCGTCCTCCAGCTTTCTTTATTGCCATCCGTGCGGCTCTCAATGCTATAGTGGACGACTTGATTAGCTCTTTTTTGTTAGTCAAATTCGCCGCCGCCGCCGCTGATGGGTTGTGTTTCTTTAAATGTCTGGAAATTTTTTTAACATCTCTTCTAAATGAAGCCGGTTTCAGGCCCATCCCAAGTTTACGTTTCACCTTCATTGCGTTAGTAACAAACCACGAAGCAGCTTTTTCACCAAAATTTGCGTCTTTCGACCTTACTCTATTCCAAGCCTGTTGTTCCAAAATTTCATCAGCCTTATGACGATCGGTTATAGATGAAGATTTTGAATAAGCTATATCGTGTTGTTTGCAAGCAGCGTCTAAACCGTTGATTCCAGGATCACCTCGTCTAAGCCGTTTTTGCAGATGAGTTCCAGGACCGCAACATTGGTACTTAGGTAGATGAAGCTCAATGGGAAGCCGATCGATTAGCGAGTTCAGAACACCTTCTCCTTCTCCTCCTCGCTTGGATGCTAACACAATAATGAGCACACGCACATTTTGTGATTATATTTATAATGATCTGCATCACCTTTAAGTGTGTCAGTAAATATTGAAATGCGTATTCAGCAACAAGCAACTGCACTACCTATCGAAAATTTAGATTTTGCTGAAGATAACAACCTTCCGAGCAAACATGGAAAATTATTACCGAATTTATTCAGAGCCATATTTTGTGGACCTAGTGGATGTGGCAAAACAAACGCAGCATTGAGTTTGCTGTTCAATCGTAACGGTGCACGTTTTCAAAATGTCTTTGTCTACTCTAAAACATTGCTGCAGCCCAAATATACTTTACTACAAAACGTTTTAGCGAAGACAAAATGCGTTAAATATTTCCCGTATAAAAATAACGAAGAAATTATCGATCCATTAGAAGCACCGAATAACTCTATATTTATTTTTGATGATATTGCATGCCAAAAACAGAAAAAATGTAGGGAATATTTTTCAATGGGTAGACATAAATCCGTGGATGTTATGTACCTATGTCATACGTATTCTAAAATACCGATACAGCTTATACGTGATAACTTTAATGTTATAGTTCTTTTCAAACAGGATGACAAGAATTTACGGTATGCATTTCATGAACATGGATCTTACCTATGAACAATTTAAGGAAATGTGTTCGCGATGCTGGCGTGAAAAATATGGTAATATAACGATAGTTAAAGATTTTGAATTGAAACATGGACGATATCGTAAGAGTTTCGATAAGTATATATGCGTATGATATCTGTCTCTGAACATCAGTTTTGCATGATGTGAAGAAGGCAAAGCACAGTAGTCTCTTGCAGAGAAAAATTCAACAACTGTCTAGAGATGTTAGACGAAAGTATTTAGCTTTGAAAATTGGTAAGTCTGACGAGGATGAAGATATTAAGAGACTCTTTCGACCAATAACCGAACCGCTTCGGCAAATAGCAAACAAGAAAAACGATGATTTGAGTATAATTAAAAAGGAAGAAACGAGTGATAAAGAAGAAGAGGAAATTAAGATGGCTGATGATGATGATACGTTTTTCGAACCTGAAGATACACCCTTTATGTTACAGTATCCAGAAATAGCTCGGGAGCCAGTGCAGAAGTTTTGGAGTAAATCTAATACAATTTATCTAGTATATGGACCAACTTATGATTCTGTAGCATCTCAGTGGCGTATCGGAAGTAAACATATGAATTTTGATACACATACGGGTGATATAATTATAGATGGTAACCGATTTCGTGGAACATAAGGACTTTATAGTCTAATTTTCTACAAAAACCCTAAATATGATCAAAATGATTTATCAGACTACAAAAAGATTTTAAATATATCTAATGTACACAAAGATAGCCGTCAACGGTTAAAAGGATCTACTATGTTCAAACATATTAATATAATTAAACCATTATGTACAAAAATAGGGTCTCAAAAAGCTCGGTCGTCGTCGTCGTTGTCGTCGTCACAGCATACCGGACAAGGAATGTATTTGACTTATAACGATAAACCCGTAGAGTATGTATATTGGGATGATGTTAATGAACTTGTAGATAGATTAAAATTATTAATTGCTTCGCAAAGCGCTGGTAATACATCACATAATAATGAAATTGTTGCCATTATAAATGAACTGAAAGAAGCTCGTATTATAAAGGAGCGTGTATAGATATATCCGATGACAGTATCACGATGAGCATCAACAAGTTTGGTCAGTATGTTGGCGGTGGTCATGCACATATCATTCCATACAACGTCGACAACAACCACAGTTACCTTTCGAAGTAACTGTAGAAGGAGAAGTCAGCTTTGAAAATTTGAAACTTTGTAGTTCTATAGTGCCAATAAATGGGAAAGATATAGTAAATAAACAATATGTAGATGGAGAAATTAGATCTTGTTATAGTTATGTAGATAATGCGCGTATCAAAGTGATCAAATATTTAGATGAAGAAATGTTAAGCGTTATGTAGATAATGCGCTTATCGGAGAGAACAAAAGACGTAAAATTGATAACCAAAATAATACTGAGACATCAAAAGCACTAAAAGATCAAATTGATATTTTAAAAAGTGTCATTACTGAACAGGAACTTAAGCAAATTAGTCACGATAAAATTTTAAATAATCAAGGCCGATGTCTTGCTGATTTAGATAAACAATTAAATATCTTGAATCAAAACCAAAGAACTTTTAGTGATACAGTAGAAAAAATGAACAACAACATTAATCCGAAGCAGCTTGTATATATCAATGACTTAAATAAAATGATGGAAAAGTTAAGCTCAGATATGAAAATCGTTATCGGTGACGAAGCAAACAAGGTACGGAGGGAATTTGATCTCAAATTTAAATCAATCGAAGATGGAATTATGAATTTCTAAGAAACCCCCCCTCCCCAAATACCATAAAGAGATAATTAAAGTTATAGCGATATAATGAACAGTTACTTTTTAACCATGAAGCATAGTGCAGAAAAAGTACAGCTCGTGACAGAATTACACAAACCGCTAAGAAGGAATTTCAAAAGACGTCGGACCATCGTTCTAGGCTTAAATGATTTATATCAATCCGATTTATGTCAACTTGATCAGTATGCCAAATATAATAAGAATTTCAAGTTTATCCTAGTAGTCATAAATTGCTACTCAAAATTTCTATGGTGCAGACTGCTGAAAATAAAATCTGGTGAAGAAGTCACCAAAGCTTTTGCTGATATACTTAAAGCTATAAGTCCGACGCCGAAAAACTTACAGACAGATCAGGGGAAAGAATACTATAATGTACATTTTAAGCAGTTAAGGCTTATAACAATCAAAAACATCATACTATTAGAATGAAGCCAGTCGATGTTAAAAAGAATACGAAAATTTCAGCTTTTGACCATATAAAAATAGCTACTGACCTGCGTAAATTTAATGTTGGTGATTTCGTGAGAATAAGCAAAGCTAAACATGTATTTGAAAAAGGATACACACCTAACTGGACAACCGAGCTATTAAAAGTTGCAAAAGTACAAATAACCAATCCACTTACATATTTATTGAATGATTTGGATGATAATCCAATTATGGCTTGTTTCTATACGGAAGGATTACAAAAAGCGAAAAACCCAGACGTATATTTGGTTGAGAAAGTTTTAAAACAAAAGGGAAATAAGGTATATGTAAAATGGCTTGGTTTTGATGCAACACATAATAGCTGGATTGATTCAAAAAATCGATTATAATATTCCCCCACCATCTTCCCCCACCATCTTCCCCCACCACCAGCACCACCACTATCACCAGTCCATAATAGAATACAATTGGAAAAATGTATAATAGTTGAGTGAAGACGTTTGAGTGTACCATGTCTGAGCTGCCACGTCTATACCAAGAAGAAGAAGAAGAAGAAGAAACATTTTATGGTGCTGAATATGACCGTGTGTTAAGAATGTTCGAAAATGCAATTCAGATGGAACGTTACTACATTTGTAATACGACACTGAAATGTGGACAACTATATCAAGTCCACTGCGGTCCGAGTTCTGCAAGAAACTTTGAACCATACGTGAAAATTGAATACAAACCTGACGATACTGGAAATGTTCACATATCATTTAGCACCTTTGAATGGCCGATTTTCGTGAATCACTTAAAACGGTTCAGGTTTGAAAGGTTGGAGGCAGCAGCAGCAGCCGCAGCACCGACATCAAAACTTACCTGTGGTGAAAATATTGAAATCTCTGGACTTGTATGTGATGGAATCAAGTTTGTTACAGTGTCCAATGGTCATGGTACTTTTTACTTTATACAACAAGAAGTGCAAGAATTAGTGAGAATCGACTCGATTGTTAGTTTTAGAATTGAAATGTTTAGTGCTATCAATTTTTTAAACTATTATCATAATGTTCTAGATACTATATGTGGCTTACTTAAAAACAGTAAGCATATTTTAGCTCCTATAGACGTACTAAGGTCTTTTTGTGGCATATCATCAAATTCTGCATTATTAAGCGATCGATCCATCAACTATACTTTTCTTGAAAGTTAATCAACAGAATAAAGAGATCCGTTGTAATTATGTTAATTCAGATATCTTGATTGAGAATGAAAATATTAAATAGCAAAATAGCCCCGGTCCCTCACCAACCTCCCGCGCGCGCCCACACACACACACACACACACAAACACACACACACGCACCCACACACACACACACACACACACACACACACACACACACACACACACACACCCACACACACACACACACACACACACACACACACACACACAAATGAAACAACGAACTTGTAATTTCACATGTATTAAAAAGTATCTACATAGTAGGTACATTGATTCAATACATGGGCAGTTATATCATAAATGGAGTACGGTATAAAGGTATGATTTTAATCGTGTTAACATCAAATAAACATCGATCAAAGTCATCGGATAGCGGTAACAAACATAAAGTACAATAATTGGAATCGTTTCGTAGTACACATTCTAGCACTAAAGCTCCAGCAACTTTTGAGAAAGTTTGATATATTGTTATAAAATATGGTTCATTTGATTGTTCTGGTACAGTTTTCCAAATACAATCTTCACAAAGATAACTTTTATGTTTACTTTGAGTTACGTGTGGTAGATTAAGATTTGCTAATCGGTATTCATTACGTACAACTACATTCCATTCCCACCAAAATTGATAATCTTCCTTATAAGTTCTCAACAACATAGCATGTTCGACGGTTAATAGTGCCCAAGTCCAATCAGAAACATCCTCAGGAGTACAATGGAATAAATCATCAAAAACGCGTTCCCAGTTTTCTGTATATTCTAAAGCTTTAAATAGATATTTTATATAGACTTGTTTAGGTAGAATTTTTTTCAACAATATTACAGATGACTCACATATACGTTCATGATATTCACCCGTGAATAACTCAGTAATGCAATAATTGACAGCGGCAACACATTCTAGAGCAGCGTCAAATAAGCGTTTTGGTTGAAACACCTGTGAAAAACAAAAAAACTTCAGTTTTCAATTATAGAATAATGACCCCATGGTAGGGTATCAGTTGAATTATTAATCAAATAGCGCTTATCATCAAATGGGTTCAATGCAATTTTAGTTTGTACACTGTAAACGTTATGTGCAAATGATCTGATTATACTTTGATTGGCGACTTTTTCTTTATTTTCGTTCAAGCAGTCGACGTAGTCTTGAAAAGAAATTTGATTTTTAACTACATTGTATTTGACACCTTTTGACTTTTTAATGCATGTGGTTCCTTCAATTAGGTACGAATACATTTTCGATCTTAATCCAACGAAATGTGTCATTGAACGACCTTTTGTTTCGTCTTTCATCAAACCAGGAACTTTCTTATTGACCAACGGTATTCCATAAATATTTTCCGTAGGATAGTCACTTGTGTCAAATTTTTCGATATCTTTTTTAATCACTTCCTGATAAACATCATCACAATGTATGTGATAGCAATACGAATCAGTATCAGTATAGAGAATCTTACAATCATTACTGTTGAATTTTTGTAGCATATAACCATAGTGAAACTCATACATGGAAGTTTTGGAAATTTCTAAAATAGCTACACCAACATATATGGGTCTATTGAATACAATATTAGTTTTATTCATTTCAATAGCCATGAAATCTTCATCAAAAATTGCACGACAATGAAGTGCAGGATTTGATATTAAATTTTTTGCACCATAACGGCCCGCCCAGCTAGAAACCAACTTTACTATACGATTTTTGCGCAAATTTTCCAAAGTTTTTCCAAACGTGGCATTAGTCATTAATTTGTACAAGTTCTGCTCAAACTTTGATGTTGCAACAGTCCGCAACTTAGTGTTCAACTCAATATAAGACTTAAGCCAAGCGCTTTGTTTGAATTTCAACACGCGATGAATTTTAGTTAGCTGAAGTCCAAATTTTATAGCTTGCTTTAAATTACGATAATGTATAATGTATTTGTTTTTGTCATACAGTGTTGTCATTAATTTTGGTAGCTTCGACCCTGGTGGAACACGATGCTCAGGACATAAGGGATGATCTTTATGCATATCATGGAGATGTTGAGGATATTTCAAATCGACCTCTAATATATAACCTTCAGGCGAATCATCAGCAATGGAGGTAACGTCAATATTAGCATCTGTCCACTCAAAACCGTCATAGGGTAGATACTCCTGCATGGCACTAGCGGACAACGCATTGACGTCCAGATAAAGCAGATAAGATGAGGGTTTCTTTGGGTCATAATTCTGAAGGTATTTATTATTAGCTATTGGCTATTGGCCCATTGACTAACACCTCCACGAATGCCATCCTCTAAGAATAAAAGTATATCGACATTTTGCATGGTACTCAATTGACACTTAGTATATTTTAACATACAATTCCATGTATATCCTGGCATTGTGTAATACCAAGCTGGGTCTAATCCGTATGTATCATGAGCTTTATGTCGAAAATTTTCAAAAACATCAGTTAACAGCATTATATCAGTCTTTAAATATAAATCAGAATATTCACCAATATCCTTAAGCTTAAAATGAGTGAACACTTTTTGCGCATGTGCATAATCATCATCTGAAATATCACAATCATTTAGTTTATTGTGAAATGCTTTAATATCAGGAAGAGTAGTTTCTTTCAATTTCTCATACGAATCTATATAATCATAACAAAATACACCCTTACGCATAACAAGTTTCAAAGAATCATCATCATCATCAAAATTACTAAATTCCTTTTTTAAATTTTGAAATTTATCCGCAGTAAGCGTTGATGATAATTCATCTAAAGTTGCCCCTAAAAATCGAAACGAATCTATAAACCGAAATTTTATATCAGTTTCATCATGGAATTGAGTAAAGCTTATATATTTTCCTTGTTAACTGGTAAACACGTTACTTTGTTATGCTTCGCTAAAGTGACTATCATACCCTGAAAGGTTATGGAACACCACCGGTATGGAATAGTTCTTTTTAAAATTGAGGTTACACTGCTCATGCGCAAAGCCTCTCTGTTCCCCGGTATAATGATCATGATCAACTACGATTTTATCCGTAGATTTAAAACTATTTTCACAGATATGGCAACAAGTTCTACCCATAGACGGATTCACAACGATTGGAATGATATTTTTATTTTTCGATTGAATAAACTTTGCTAATTGGTCCAACTGATTTTCAAACCAAACCATGCAATCTTCACCTCTGTACGATTTGTAAAAAGATAAGGTATCATCATAGTTTCACTTAAAGTAATATGCTGCACTGAAAGAAGCATGTTTCTGATATTTTTGAGTTTTTGAAAAATTTTATGTGTCAGTGAATGGTTTTAATATAGACTCAAAATCAGCATACACGATAAACAGTAGTTTTTGTTTGGTAATGAAATTCTTGAATTGTATATGCTTTTCTGAGGAAAATGAAATCCTACAGTTATTTCTCTTAACGCAATATTCATCATGTTGAACTAGCTGCTCTTCGGTTGAAAAATAATTGAGACATCTATCGCAAATAACTTTTTTCCCATGGTGCTTATTTGTCTGTGATGAAACTAGACGGGATACATTTTTTATCCAACAATAATGATATGTAATAGGAGTATCGTTGGGTATATTTTCCCAATTATTTGGATAATATATGTTTTGAATCAGTAGTAGATTTACATGTTTTGTCCTTTTATTTTTACATAATCGTGCTGGTGAGGTAACATAGTTATTTTTGCTTGTTAATTCTAAGATGAAAATATTGACTGAAATGTTATTATTTTTTTCGAATCTTGTAATGTCAGCTAATGATACAGGTGTTTCAGTACCATCTAAATTAAATATGCCCGAGCTGTAATGTGGATAAGAAGAGGTTCTGACTGCATTCACGGCTACCGGATATAAGGCGGATATTATTACCCAAAGAAAGCATGCGTTATCATCATAATTTTTTACGTTAACGCAAGCATTTTTAATTGCAATCTGTTGAGGAAGTCTGATATAGGATGATCCAACATTATTGCTAAAGCCAGATTGATTAATATTCACTTCTGAATGTATTAGTTTACTAAGCACGAAACCGCTATCTTTTTCACTAAATTCCTACAGTTTATTAAAATTTTTTTCGATAACGAACTCAGCAAACCATTCGGTGAGGGTAGTACCGCAATCGATAATTTCATTTTTCGTATTAAAATATTTCAATTCTGATCTTTCTTCTTCTTCATTTACTGCTTTTTTAATAAATTCCCCGCAAAATACGAGATTTAAATAGAAAAAATGCATCATTTAAAAACTGAACTATATCTTTGTGTTTCAAATTGATAATGACTCCAGTACGAACTCTACTGGAAAATGCCGACTGAACATCCTCCCATTTTAGTCTATCGCTACGTTTTTTAGAAATACCTCGCCCACAATGAGGACCTAGCAAGCTTTTGAGATGATTTCTAAAATGTTTAAAATAACAAAGATCGCTCTGGAACTTAACCAAAATACCATGATTCCATTCTTTTTTTCTAATGGCTTTATTCAAAATCCGAATTTGACTGTTAGCACTCTTAATCCATTTTCGTTTATCGTCATCACTACTGTTATTTTGAAGTTGTTTGAAAGCTTTTTGAAAGATACGTTTGATATTGTTACTCACCGACTCCATTTATGATACACAAATTAAACTTCCTTAATTAAAAATTTTGTTGCTGGATGGAAATTTCCCTCTTCTAGTCCAGTAAACGTAACGGTGTACTTGGCTGCTTCAAATTTGTCGATTTGGGTCTTGAATGATTCCGTCACACGGCCTGACAGAAACACTACGTTTTTCTCCAACTCTAGCAGCACTGACTCCCCGAATCTCCCCTTTGTTATCTTAGCACCCAGTATAAGATGAGGCACGTTGATAGGTGGCTCCCGCAACTTCACTGCAGGCTTCAAGCCTGCAAGTGTTGATGTTTCGTTAATTTTTGTCAAATCCATGTTCTGCAAAGAGAAACTCTCTCTGTAGAGAAACACAGCACTAAAAAAAAAATTGGTAATACTCACATTTATTTTCACTGCACTGCACAGACACTGGTGGTGGTGGTGGTGGTGGTGGATTTCACACGTTCGGCGAACTACTTATTGGAGTA